GAGGAGGGGATCAAAGGGATTTGTCTCTGCTTCCTTTTGTTTAACTGCAGTGTCTGCAAAATGAAGGGTGTAGGTTCTGAATAAAAAGCCAAGAAGAGAGAAGCATTATGAGTTTCTAGATAAATTCTAAAAAGCAAATGTAAGATAATATCAATCAAAATATCTCTACTTCTATGCGCCTAAGAACAAAGAGCATGTCACAAAAATCTTCCTTACAGCTTTTTATAGGCGCTGCTCCATGTCTGTGCTGTCACATTTCCCAGGTTTCTTCTCTGGAGAATCCAATCAGCACACGGAGCCTTGACTCCGTACGTTCTGGCCAAAGTTTTTCAGCGCTTTGATTTCACCTCATTCGCTCACTTTCTTCATCTGTCTTCGGTGTTGCTTTTGTAATTTTTTAAAAATAGGGTCTCTTTTCCCTTCTGTGAATTCCAATAAGCACTTATTTTTGTGACGACTTCATTTTTCTCGTCTCTTCTTTCCTAACCTTCCCCAGTTAATTTCCTTGAGCCCTCAGAGCTATTTTAGGATCTTGCATTGTCAGGAAATTGCTTCCCTGGCTTTAAAAAAATTAATTGCCAAATCAGTGTTTGCAATTTTCATTGGCTTTTTGGTCACACTTTCCAGGTGAGTATTCTTTACCTGCCATTTATTTTTCTTGTTGTTACTGTCTTTCTTTTTTTTTTTTTTGGTGATATATACATTTTTATTGTAGTAAAATATAACATAAAACTGACCATTGTAACCATTTCTAAGTGTCCAGTTCAGTGGCATTAAGCACATTCATGTTGTTGGGCAACCATCACCACTGCCCATCTCCAGAACTTTCCATCGTCCCAAACTGAAACTGAACCACTAAACACTAACTCCCTAGGCCCCATCAGCCCCTGGTAACCACCCTTCTACTGTCTGTCTCTCTGGATTTGACTTCCTAGATTCCTCCTCTAAGTGGAATCGTACACTATTAGTCTTTTGTGACTGGCTTACTTCACTCAGTTCTGTTGAAATGACTTTCTTGGACAAAGACGGAGCTGCTCCTGTCTGGGGTGCCGCGTCAGCAAAACTCAGATAACCTTCGTGCTCCTGTAGGTGCCCTGCTGGGCCAGACACAGCCGATCCCCAAACATCACCTCTGGGCCTTCTCACCCCGAACAAGGTCCACTGTGTGGCCCCAGCCGATCAGATCTTGTCTGTCTGTCTCTTCCTTGTTCCTCTTTTTTTACCCAATAAGAGCTGCCTGCCTTCCACTCGCTGTGCATTTCTCCGAATGGAGATGGTCTGCTTCGTGAAGTGCTATAAAGTTTGTTTGTAAAAAAGACCCGAATTGTCTTCCTTAATCTTTAAAAACAAAACAAAACAGCCCTAACTGGTTTGGCTCAGTGGATAGAGTGTCAGCCTGCGGACTCAGGGGTCCCAGGTTCAATTCCGGTCAAGGGCATGTACCTTGGTTGCGGGCATATCCCCAGTAGGGAGTGTGCAGGAGGCAGCTGATCGATGTTTCTAACTCTCTATCCCTCTCCCTTCCTCTCTGTAAAAAATCAATACAATATATTTAAAAAACACACACAAAACAAAACAAAACCACCAGTTAACATGATGTCTTCAAGGTTCATCCATGTTACAGCATTATCAGAATTTTATCCCTTCTTAAGGCTGAATAATATCCCATTGCAGATATATTTCACATTTTATCTAGCCATTCATCCATGAATGGACATTTTAGCTGTTTCTACCTTTTAGCTATTGTGAATAATGCTGCTATGAACATGGACGCACACATATCATATCTGTCATATCTACTTTCAATCATTTTGGGTGTGTTCCCAGAAGTGAAATTGCTGGATCATATGGTAATGCTATCTTTAATTTTTTTAGTAACCGCCATAGTGTTGGCAGTGGCTACACCATTTTATATTCTCACAAGCAGTGCACCAGGGTTTCAGTGTCTCCACAATCTCATCAGCACTTGTTACTTTCTGTGTGTTTTGGTTTTTTATAGGCATCCTAATGGGGTGAGGTGGTAGCTCACTGTGGTTTTGACTTGTATTGCCCTAAGTCAGCGGTTCTCAACCTGTGGGTCACCAACTTGTGGGTCGCGACCCCTTTGGGGGTCGAACGACCCTTTCACAGGGGTCGCCTAAGACCATCGGAAAACACATATATAATTACATATTGTTTTTGTGATTCATCACTATGCTTTAATTATGTTCAATTTGTCACAATGAAAATACATCCTGCATATCAGATATTTACATGACGATTCATAACAGTAGCAAAATTACAGTGATGAAGTAGCAACGAAAATAATTTTATGGTTGGGGGTCACCACAACGTGAGGAACTGTATTAAAGGGTCGCGGCGTTAGGAAGGTTGAGAACCACTGCCCTAAGTGATTAGTGATGCTGAGCATCTTTTCATGTGCTTATTCTTGGCCATTTGTGTACCTTCTTTGGAGACATGCCTGTTCAAGTCCTTTGCCCATGTTTTTAACTGGGTTGGTTGTTTTTATTATTGTTGAGTTAATATGTTAGTGGAGACCTTATGTTGGCTGCTGTTTTGTGTGGACCACCTATTGGTGGGAGATTCAAATAAGGAAGCATCCAGGGCAGTGTCCTGGCACAACTGCTCCTTCTGACGTGGGGCCTTCGACTTGAGATTCAGTCGTCCCTTCTCCCAGGCAAAGGCCCTGGTCAGCTTTCAGGCTGTTCCCAGTACAGCTGCTGTCCTCCCTCTGTCTCAGGGACAAAGTGCATCCTACAAATATGGCTGTTTCTCCTTTTCTCCCGTCTTCACGGTTTCTTGGAACCAATCCAGGCTAGTGCCAACCCACACACCTTATTCTTACTATTTGAAAAAGGGACGTTAGTTTTGCGCTTTGCGAAAACCCCTCCCCTTGAACAGGGCCTTTCCCCTAAAATCTGTAGCCATTGCCCACCTTTTCCGAAATCTGCAGTTACCGGCATCCTGTCCCCTCGTCCTCCCAAAGCCTTGCTCCCATCACTTTCGGCATCCTTTTAACCTATTTGACCTACTCTTTTTTTTTTTTAACCTATTCTTCCTAGTTTCTAATAGATGGTGCTTCTATCATTTTTGTTGCTCTTGGACAATTGCCAAGAGAAGAGAAACTGATAACTTGGTCCATTCATCTTCACCCCAAGCGTTCACACAAAACGTTCTGAGCATCATCATCACACTATACGGCAGACAGGAAGGAGACATGGCGTGAGAAGAATTAGACCGGTTTCCTCCCTTTGCCTCTCCTACCTCTTGGACCACTTCCTCTGACAGTCTTTAAAGATTCCTTTTATTCCTCATTCCCTCGACACTGTTGGCATTTCCCAGGGCTCCCCCCTCAGCTCTCTTTCCCACTGAGCTCACCGTCTCCCGTGGATTTTGCATGTTTTTGAATCCCAGGTCCGCGTCTCTAGGTCTCAGCTCTGTATGAAGCCGCCGCCCTCCTGAGTGACGGCGGGTCTGCTTTCATCTTTACCAGGTGAGGCGGCGTCTCTTCTGGCCCAGACCCATCGGCACCTTTAGAGAAGCACAAGGAGCCCTAGAGGCACCATGGCCATGGTCCCAGCTGGAATCCGCTCAGGTAACCCTCCCCTCTCCTCCACAGTTTCTTCTGACCACAGGTCACCATCTCAACCGGGAACGGGGGACCCTGGAGATTGGGAAGTGGGTGAGGGTCCAGGTCCCACTCCTGCCCTATTTCCCATGAAGTCTGCTCACACTCCTCCCCCAATTAGAGGCATCTCATCCTGGGTCCCTTAGACACAAAGACCATATTTTGTGAGCCCCAAATCAGAATACATATTCAGATCACCCCCTCCAGCCCCTGCGACCCTCAGCTGGCAGGCTCTGTGGTCAGGTCGGAGGTCATCCTGTGGCTGTGCAGTCAGGACCCCCCAAAGTCCCTGAACTTGGCCTTGGGCCAGCCACACCTCCTCACTCAGTGTCCTTGCCAGAGACCATGGTGAAGTGAAACCAGGGCAGCACCTCCTACTCTTCTGGGTGGGCCTGGATCTCCGGAGCACAGCCCTTTGGCAAATGGATTTAATTATGAGATTTAACCCCAGAGAGCCTCTTCCTCCCTCTAAACCCAAACTCGGATCTCAGGGGACGGGCCTCCAGCTGATGAGCTTCGAGGGCCCAACTGAGAGATAAGGGGGCAAGATGGACAAGCTGGGGCCAGCTCACCCTTCTCATGGGAGGAGAGAGGACAGAGAGGGCAGGGCCGTGTGCGTCACTGCACCGGCTTCGGACACAGGGGAGTCCGCCTGTGCCAGGCCAGGCGTGTCCCTCGTGCCAGGGAATCTAAACCAAGCAGGGAGGACGGTGCCCTCTTTGGGAGATGAGGCGAGGCGAGGCCAGAAGGTTCGTTATTCCTTCTCCCAGATAATGTGATTCTATGAGCTTTCCCAGAGGAAGACTCCCTTTAAAAAAAAAAATCCTCATCTGAGGATATCTTTCTATTGGTTTTTAGAGAGAGTGGAAGAGAGGGAAAGGCAGGGAGAAACATGGATATGAGAGAAACACATGGATTGGTTGCCTCCTGCACACACCCTGACCAGGGCCTTGGCCAGGGAAGAGCCTGCAACACAGGTACGTGCCCTTGGCCGGGATTGAAGCCGGACCCTTGGGTCTGCAGGGCCACGCTCTACCCACTGAGCCAAACTGGCTAGGCCTGGAAGATTCACTTTTAACTACAGAAATGTGATGGGATACGGAACATGATGGTTCGTGAAAGTGGCTATGAAAGTGATGAAACACCAGTCAGGGTTCTGTTGACGTCTAATCCAGGTATAAATGCCAAAGGCTCCCACTGGAAGGAACGGCTCGGTTTTTGCGGAGACCCGGTTTCCCTCTGCTTTGCCAGCCTCAGTCCATTCACTCCCCACATAGCCCTCCCCCAGATAAAGTGGAGTCACCCCCCCTCCCCCCAGGATCTGTTCTAGGCCAGAACAGGGGAGAGAGTCAGCTATGACTTTCAACATAAACAACTTAGTATCATGAACTCTGAGCCTTTAGCTAATGTGCCCTCTGCAAGGGACAGTGGAGATAGGTAGGCAGACACCCGCCCTCCCGGAGCCGTAGAGGGGCCACTGCACAGCACTCAGCTGAGCCCTACACTGAGCCTGTCTGGGCAGAGCAAAGAAACAAAAAGCAGAACTCCTCAGCTAATGTGCCTCAAATCAAAGTGGAACAATGGCAATAAAGAACAATCATTAATAGCAGTAATAAGTAGATGGTATCAAATTGAGTCAAAATCAGATTTGAATAATTTTTTGCAAACAAGAGATATCCGGAAATAAAGATAATGCAGAGGGCCAAAATAACAGTTTAGAAAAACATGTCGTGTGTACATTTTTAAAAGATGACAGTATTCATATTTAAAACTAGTGGCCCAGTGCACGAAATTTGTGCACGTTAAAAGGGAATTCATTAGAGGAAATATTTTAATATTGCTATTTGCCCTTTCTCTATAATAGAAGTGTCAGAGATGAAAGAAAATTAGTAAAATGTATATGAAAATCTCCCTCCTGTCAGAGTCTGGGGCGCGCCACAGGACCCAGAGTCAAGTCTCCGCCCACCTGCCCGTGCCTTGAAATTGTACGAGGCCAGCCCCACCCGCATTGGGCAAGACCCAGACCCAGGCGGCCCTACCGTCATCAAACCCCGCCGGGCAAGGGGTGCAGCCTCAGGTCCTGCCGAGCGGGGGGTGCGCAGCCTCAGGTCCCCCGGCCCCAGTGCTGGGGCGGGGGTCGTGGCCTGAAGTGCCCCGGCCCGGCACCAGGGTGGGGGGTGTGTGGCCTGAAGTCCCCTGTCAAACCCCGCTGGGTGTGGGTACGGCCTGAGGTCCCCTGTCAAGCTCCACTGGGCAGGGAGCATGGCCTGAGGTCTCCTGCCCCGGCCTGGTGCCATGCAGCCTCAGATCCCTGCTGTTCAGTCATTTGGTCGTCCCTCACTAACCCCCCTGCTGGCCTGGTCGCCCCACGCAGCCTGCTGTTCAGTAGTTTGGTCGTCCCTCACTAACCCCCCTGCCAGCCTTGTCACCCCACGCAGCCTGCTGTTCAGTAGTTTGGTCGTCCCTCACTAACCCCCCTGCTGGCCTTGTCACCCCACGCAGCCTGCTGTTTGGTCGTTACTGTTACTGTGATGGCATCCCGAACCATTTGTATATTCCTCTATTATTAGTACAGATGCCTTTTGTGTCTTCCCATGTGCTCACCAGCGCCCCCTGCACACTGTGCTTCCTGTAGGAGTTGGAGATTTTATGTTAAAAGAATGAGGAACGAAGATGCCTTATTATTAAATTCTTGTATTTTAATGGTTTTTATTACAAAAGTAGCATGTTTGGTGAATCCTTCCAGAATGTTTCCCTAGTCCTATACCACATATATAATACTTAAAAAAAAAATCAAGATCATATTCTTCACTCCCCGCCTCCCCCCTTCCTTTAACTTAATATATCCGAGGTCTCATTCCCGGTCTGTTTGGATAGATTTGCCTCATTCTTTTTCACATCCTAAGCCTTTATCTCATATTGGTGTACTTTCCTGTAAACCGTCTCCCTACATGGATATTTCAAATTGTGTCCACTTGTTTTCACCACTTCAAGGACCTGGTGGGCAGCCTTGCACGTGCCTCTGTGTACACGCCAGTGTGTTTGCGTGGCAGGAATGTCTACAGGGTGGTGCCGAGTTTCGGGCCTGTGTACATTATGTTACCTGATATTCCAAACCGTCCTCCCAAAGGTTTCTATTCCAGGCTCCAGCCACGTGTCTGAGAACACACCCGCCCCTCTCTCAGCGCAGGATGCTCCCGGCATCCTTTTTACTTCTGCCAAAGTGACCAATGAAGTGGCGTCTCGCTGTGGTCTGCATTTGCATTTTCTGGCATCTCATGATGTTAAACATCTTTTCATGCGTTTATCGGCCATTGTCTTTCTTCTTCTGTGAAACATCTTTCCAAAGAACATGAGAAATCCCTGTTTATGGAAAATGAGAACCAACTGCAGTTTGAAAGAGTAGGGATTTTGTTATTGCTTCTTCTTCTTTTTTAATGCTATGTTTCTTTTTTTTAAAGATATTTTTATTTATTTTAGAAAGGAAGGGGGAGGGAGAGAGATAGAAACATCAGTGATGAGAGAGAATCATTGATTGGTTGCCTCCTGCGCGATCGGGGATCAAGCCCACAACCCGGGCATGTGCCCTGACCGGGAATCGAACCCTGACCTCCTGGTTCATAGGTTGACGCTCAACCACTGAGCCACTGCCGCTGGGCTTGTTATTGCTTCTTTACTGTTCAAGCTGGCGTGGCTCACGGTCGAAGAGTTCGATCCCGAGGCCATGGTTTAATTCCCAGTCAGGGCACATGCCCAGGTTGTGGGCTTAATCCCCTGTGTGGTGCATGCAGGAGGCAGTGGATCAATGATTCTCTCTCATCATTGATGTTTCTGTCTCTGTCTCTCTCTCCTTCTCCCTCTCTGAAATAAATTAAAAAAAATATTTTTTAAAAAAGGACAGGTGTGGGGGAGGGTGGGAGAGACAGGTTTCAGGCTCAGTGAAGAGAAATGGAGTCATGTTTATTACTCACATTAAAAACTTTAAAAAATTAAAAGCATCCCAGGAAGATGTGGCAAACAGAAAGAAACCTGCAAGCTCTTTTAGAATTTCAGAAAACAAGCAACTTTCATGTCATATAAATTGTTCCAGAAATGTGTTATTACCTATATTCTACGAAGTTTTCAGGAAAGAAAACTATAGTTCAATATCATTTATGACTCTAAGACAAACATAATGAATATGATACTAGAACATATAAATCTGTAATATACTGATGCAAAAATCTGCAATGGTTTCCACAGAATTTAAGAATAATTCAATATATGGAAATTTATGCACATAAGACACTCTACTCAAGGGATAAATAAAAAAGGAAAATTATGATAATCTCATTAGAGTCTAAAAACTCAGCACCTCATCCTAATAAAAATACGGAAATATAGGAATGAAACGTACTGCCTTAGGTGAAAGAGTGTTTTTGTAAACCAACTGCCAATAGTAAAATACTGGAGTCAATTTCATAAAATTAAATAATTTAAGAATTCAAGCTAGCCTAATGAGATATGGAACCAAAATAAGAAAAAGAAGTATTGAAAAAAATAGGAAAGAAACCCAACACTATGTATTCATGAGTTATTCATTTACTCACTATTGCAAGGAGTAAAAATTCAGTGAAGCCCAGAGGAGTACGAAGAATGAATACTGTTTCTACAGAGTAACCCGCACAAGTCAGAAAACACGATAGTAAGAGACAGTAGGAAACAACGTTGGCATGGAATGTGAAGCAGCGACAAATCTTACTTAAAGGGAAGAGAGAGAATAGCATCCTGAGAGGCCATATCGCCTTGCTGGGTAGGAGGGGATGCAGTAGACCATGGGTTTAATTAGGATCTATCCTTCTCAAAGGCACATGTTTGTCAATACGATAACAGCAAGAAACTTCCTTCCTCAAGTTTAACTAGAAATATAAGCAGCTCCCCAGGCCCTGCACGCAGAACTGCAAGCAGCCAGAAAGCAGAGGTGGGCGTGGGAGCCAATCTCTGGCCCAGTCATAGCCAGCGTGGAGACAGGAACCAGGACAGGGTCAGTGCCATCATATGAAGGACTCACATGGTTGACAAACACATGAAGACCCCACTGTGTCACAGAAGGGAGTGTGTCTATAAACATGAAGGCAGGCCCCTGTTTTTGTTTTTTTTTTTAAATTTTGTTTTATTGCTTAAAATATTACAAAAAGTAATAGAAAGCCTTACTTGGAGCTCTGAGTAATTCAAGGTATAAGGGAAGCCAATCTTCTCTAGTAGTTTAAAGTGTTTAAAAGTAAATTAACAAGTGAGTGTACATGTAGCATATTTCCCTTTTTAATAGTTTTTTAAAGTTGAAAGAATAACTTATTTATTTTAAAATGTTTTTTTCAATTTTTAAGTCTTTATTGTTTAAAGTATTACATATAGTATTACATGTCTCCTTTTTCCCCCACTGATCTCTCCCCAGCCACCCCCACCACCCAGCACATGCCCTCACCCGCCTAGTGTCTGTGTCCATTGGTTATGCTTATATGCACACATACAAGTCCTTTGATCTCTTACCCCACCCCCGCAACCCTCCCCAGCCTTCCTGCTGTAGTTTGACAGTCTGTTCGATGTTGCTCAAGGCTGGCCCCACTTGATGAAAGAGCAGAGTCATCCTATATAATAAAGATGTAATATGCAAATTAACCCTCACACCATCATAAGATGGCTGCCTACCACCAGGCCGGCAGGGGGGTTAGTGAGGGATGACCAAACCATTGAACAGCAGGCTGTGTGGAGCAACCAGGCCAGCAGGGGGGGCAGTTGGGGGTGATTAGGCTGGTGGGGAGGCAGTGAGGGGCCATTAGGCCGGCAGGGGGGGGCAGCTGGGGGAGACCAGGTTGGCAGGGGGGGAAAGTTAGGGGCAACCAGGCTGGCAGAGGGGGGCAGTTTGGGGTGACCAGGCCAGAGGGGGGCAGTTAGGGGCGGTCAGGCCAGCAAGCAGAGGCAATGAGGGGTGATCAGGCCAGTGGGGCAGTTAGGGGCAACCAGGCAGGCAGACAGGTGAGTGATTAGGAGCCAGTGGTCCAGGATTGTGAGAGGGATGTCCAACTGCCGGTTTAGACTCAATCCCCAGGATTGGGCCTAAACCAGCAGTTGGACATCCACCGAGGGATCCCGGATTGGAAAGGGTGCAGGCTGGGCTGAGGGGAACCCCCCTCGTGCACAAATTTTGTGCACCGGGCCTCTAGTCAAAAATACTCATCTGACAACAGTGTAGCAATATGGACAATACTTGTCCTACAATATTACATTTTAAAAAATAACAGACACAGTTATAGCATGCTATGAAAGCCATGTGAACAAGAATATGCATTTGAAAAATTACTGGAAGTAAATGAAAAAAAATCAACAGTATTGGGGGTGATTTCTGAGCAACACAGGAAACTGCAGCATAAGAGATTCTAAGCAAGGGTAGCTATGCAACATTATCTATGGAGGGGAGGAAAAATAATTTTTCTTCTACCCTTCTGCATTCTTATCTGAGACCCTTGTAATAAAAGAATAACCAGAAAAAAAGAAAAGTTCATTGACACATATTCTTTATGAACAAATGGGTGAGACCCAGGGAAAAATGAGTAACTCCCTAAGGAGGCTTCGAATTCAGTCTTAAGTACCATTTTCATAGAGAAAGGGGGCGGGGGGAGGGGATGCAGGCCTCCTTGAGGGGAGTAAATAATTGTTTTAGGAAAGATGAAGGATCCTTGGAAGAACAGAGGGGAGGTATGATAATTTGTGACAAAGTGTGCCTGGGTGTGGTGTCAACTTCAAGTCTCCTCTCCTGTGACAAGAGTCAACCTCCCTGGCTGATGACACTCCGGGAAGGGGACGCAGGACAGCCAGCTGCCTTTTGGAGGATCTGTCCGTAGGCAGATGAGGGGAGCTCAGAGAAAGCCTCCTGCATTGCTGCTTTACAAGTGCCTACAGCTCAAAACATTGGGTGATCAAAGAGGCATCTTTGGGGTGACATAGCCTGCTGCCCAACACCGACCTGGTTGAACAGACAAACCAACTCCTCAACTCAGGAAGGTTTGAGCAGGGACCGGACAATCCTTCTGGGATGGTAGATGCAGTGAGCTGGACGGAATGCACGCTCACTTGCTTCTCAGTTTGCAATATTATAAATAAAATGGCCCTGATCATCTTGGTGCCTATTGTTGGGTTATTGGATGATTAGCAAAAGATTCTTGTGACTAAATATGTGATAGCAAAAATTCAACAGCCACCAGAAACCTAAGAGATGCCCAGTTTGACTATATCCTAGTTAGCTCTGGGCATTGTCAGTTTGTTTAAAATCATTAGGCAAAAAATGATGTGCAACTTGTGAGACATTACAATTTTTGATGTATTCCAATTTTGCTTATTTTATTCCCAAATGTTATAATTAGATGGTCTACTTCACCAGAGCATCGTTGAAGGTCTAGCGACCATGACCGAAGAAGACATGCACTGGCTCCTCTCTGATTGGCAGGCTTGGGAGACGGTGATGGAGCAGCTTTGCTTGGAAAGGTAATCCCAGAGCAGCGATGTCTGGGGTGAAATCACCAGAGTGAGAGTTCTGTGAGAGCAGGGACTGGGCTGGTGTGCTTGCTGCCGGAATTCCAGAACCAGGAACGGCATCTGGCACACACCTGGCATGCAGTGACTTGATGGGGAAGGATGTCGGAAGCCACTCCTGCTTCCCTGGGGAGGGGTCAGCTGGCCGGTCTACCTGAGGCTGCTGATGGCCTTGCCAGGGAGCAGAGGGCTCTAACGCCACTGTCAACAGTTCCTCTGGGGCCTCGGGGCTGCTTGGGCTCAGTCGGGTGTTCCTGCGAGCCCTGCCTCCTTTCCCACAGACACACTCTCCAATATCTAAACCCACGCCCCGTCCGTGGAACGAGCCTGAGGGCCGTACAAGTCAGACTCTTACGAGTCGTAGGAAGTCGACTGCAGCATCCGGCACAGGCCCATGGTGTCCACTTTGGAAGCCCCACATCCTGTAAGACAAGGCGCCTCTCCTGGCCTGTTAACACGCGAGCGGAGTAGAACCCGCTGTTCCCAAGCACGACCACCCTCTGTTAGAAATTTACTTCCAGTTTCCAAAATATACGCGTGTTGGAGTGAATGGCCATGAGCCCTTCCCTAGGGGAGAGGTGATATTTGGTGTCTCCCTGCAGTCCCCCCACTTTTTTTAAGAATATAGGTTATTTTACCATTTTTTAATATATGTCTAATACATACACATGATACAAAACTTGAAAGGAACAGAAGGGCAAACAGTAAAAAGTAAGTGTCCCTCAAAGCTTTGGCCCCAGGTCCCCGCTCCCTCCCCAGAAGCAACCACAATTTCCAGGTAGATCCCCTTTAAATAGAAAAAAATGGAAATGGAGACATGGCTTCCACAGGCTCTTATACTCGATTTCCCAGGACAGATCTGCTCACAGCCTGTACAGATGCACAAATTACGCACAGAGGTATGTTTATTAAGAAAAGGTTTGGTGACGAAAGCCAGTGATGCGTTTATATTGTGTCTGATTCATCACATCGGTGTCACAGCCGGTCAGGCCGTGCAGGGGGCTCGCATCACCAGCTCCTGCCGCCAAGGGGGCCAGGCCCGAGGGCCACCCTCTGTCACACTGCTCCCCAATTGTACCTTGATTCCCAGGGCGCTGCTCCCTGAGTGCGTTCGAGACCTGAGATGACCTAGAAGTCTTCAGCCTCCCAGGTGAGCCTGTCCCCAGGTTGGGAAAACACGCGTGTGCTGTTTCTGCCCACAGGGATGAAGCCGATGCGCTGTACTATATCGTGGTCCGGGAGCTGATGCGACGGGAGGAAGGGTTCAGGCCATCTGGGAACCTGTCCCAGGAGGAGATGATGTTTCTCCGAGAGTTTCCCTTGCGGAAGCATAAGCTGGAAAACACTATCAGTGAACTTCGCAGCATCGCAGACCAAGTTGACAGAACCCACAAGATGCTCACCAAGACCAGCCTGGTGGCCAGCTCCTCGGGGGCGGTGTCCGCCGTCATGACCATCATGGGTGTGGCCCTGGCACCGGTGACAACAGGAGGGAGCCTGCTACTCTCAGCAGCAGGGCAGAGCCTGGGGTTAGCAGCTGCTGCCACCAACATTTTGACAAGTGTCTTAGATAATAGGAGCAATTCGGCAGCAAGAGACAGAGCCAGCAGACTGGCGAGTCTCCCCACAGACCCGGAGGCTGGAACCGGTGAAGAGATACATTCCTCTAAAGGAATTTTTGTTCAGAGATGTGTTAACACTCTCGGGAGCATCAGGCAGCTTCATGCCTTCCAGAGGGCCCAGGCCAACCCCGGCTTCATTGCGAGGGTCAGGAACTTCGTGGCCACAAGGCGTGTGCCCTTCTGGAGGGCCACAGGGGTGCAGAGAGCGGCAGGGGCGCCTGCTCTGGCTATGACCCGCGGTGCCCGGATGCTGAGCGTAGCTGGGGCTGGCTTCTTGCTCATGCATGACTTGAGAAGCATCCAGGAGAACTGGAGGCACCTGGAAGAGGGGGCGAGGACGGAGACGGCCAAGGAATTGAGGATGCTCGCCTGGGAGCTGGAGCAGGAGCTGGACCAGCGGTCCCGGCGCTATGAGCTGACCATCCAGAAGCTGGAGAGGAGCTCGCCACTGAACCAGGAAAGAGGAAGAAGGGCAAGGCTGCCGAGGATGAGTGGGGATGCTAACCAGGCAGGCATGGAAATAGGCTCATAATCACAACTGCCTTTTCCAGGGAGGACTTTCCCACACTCCTCCCTTGAATGTGGCCCCTCCTGCTATTTCCAGCATCCCGTGCTTTTCTCCCAAAGCGCTGACCATGCATTTCTTTTTTTTTTTTTTTTAACATATTTTGATTTTTTACCGAGAGGAAGGAAGAGGGATAGAGAATTAGAAACATCAATGAGAGAGAAACATCGATCAGCTGCCTCTTGCACACCCCCTACTGGGGATAACCGGAATCGAACCTGGGACCCTTCAGTCCGCAGGCCAACGCTCTATCCACTGAGCCAAACTGGTTAAGGCTGACCATGCATTTCTGAAATCACCCGTTTGTTAGGTGCTGGCTGGCTGTCTTTCTGCAGAGCGCCCCCTGGGGGCGGCGGGTGAGTAGTGCTGGGCACACAGCAGGTGCGCCCTAGTTGTGTTGAATGACGTGAGTCTGGCATTTCATGATAAAGGCGACACTTCAAATGAGTCGAGAAAGGATCGTTACTTGAAAAGGAGTTTGTATTCCTAGACTCTCTTATTCAGAAACATAACTATCTATTTGTAGAAAATGAAAACGACTATCAGGAAAATGAAGCAGAATTTCAAAATTCCTCCTTAATTCTACAGAGAGGGTGGGGTGGGGCCAGGTAGCAAGGCCACTGTCTGAGACGCTGGAAAGAGACACAGAAGACTGTAAGGCTCATAAATTCATTCACTCATTCATTCACTCATTAGTTCATTCATTGACCCATTAATTGGGGCCAGTGACGGGGCCAAGGACGAAGAAAGTGTTCCCAATCTCGTCTGCATGTTGAAATCGCCTAGGAAGCCTTAACACACACCGATGAGTGGGTCTAACTGATGTGGGGTAGGACCCGGGCTTTGGACATTTTAAAGGCTCTCCTAGTGGTTCTGCGTGTGGTGAGTTTGGGACCCCCTGTTTTAAAGGGAGGGGCTTTCTTCCCATTCCTCTACAGTTGAACCTCGTTTCTCGACCGTCTCTCATCTCCAACAACCTGGTTCCAGGCCAAGTTGCTCACAGAAAAAAGTCCCCCTTGTGGATCAAAACTTCCATTTTCGAACAGACAACCCTTTCAAGTGTGGTATCAGCATGATAAAAGGCTTCTGGAAGGCAACAGGCAAAGGAGAGAATGCTTTGGTTGCTGGCAATTAGCATAATTTTAAAACATAAAGAAGCCATCAGCCTAGGCTGTTTTGATGCAGAGGATAGAGCATCAGCCGGCAGACTGAAGGGTCCCGGTTCAGTTCTGGTCAAGGGCATGTGCCCGGGCTGCAGACTCAATCACCAGATTCTCTTTCATCATTGATGTTTCTCTCTCCCTCCCTCTCCCTTCCTCTCTGAAATCAATAGAAATATATTTAAAAAATAAAATAAAGAGGCCATCAATTACCTAATGCTAATGTTGCTAAGGGTGTGAAAGTGCTCACAAAACAGCAATCACAGGCAACTGAATAGGTGGAAAAACTGTTGTGGATCGGATAAACGAAAAGCAGTTAGCCTGTGATAGCATTTCAGTGGTAGCATTTCAGAGGCAGTGATATATAAAAAATTCCTTTAAGATTAGTAGAGGGTGGTTTGATAAATTTAAGAGAAGAAGTGTTTATAAATTAAACAGTATATTAGACATAGCCTAATATATAAAAATCCAGGGGCTGTCATGACCTAAATGACCAGACGGACAACTGAACAGCAGGCTGTGTGGGGCGACCAGGCCGGCAGGGGGGTTAGTGAGGGACGACCAAAAGACTGAATAGCAGGCTAGTTGGGGGTGACCAGGCTGGCAGGGGGGGCAGTTAGAGGCAATCAGGCAGGCAGGCATGTGAGCAGTTAGGCGCCAGTGGTCCTGGATTGTGAGAGGGATCCTGGATTGGAGAGGGTGCAGACTGGGCTGAGGGGACCCTCCTCCTCCCGTGCACTAATTTCGTGCACCGGGCCTCTAATACTGTATATAAGAAAGGTTGAAACAGGGAATCATTTGTGGGTCTGGAGCAGATTAATTCAATTTACATTATTTCTAATGAGAAAAATGATTCAGTTTTTGATCACATCGCTCTTAAAAGGCCTTCTGGAACAGATTAAGTTTGAGAAATGAGGTTCCACTGTACATCCATATCCTTTTACCCACCAGGTACATTTTCCAGCTTCTTAATAACCCAGGGGCAGATTTGGGGGGTAAACTATTCTACACAAGGATTCATATTCTGAAGGGTCTTGCCCACCCTTCCCTTGCCTGTCTTGGAGCAAGTACAAGCTCGGGCCAGGTGCCTGCAGGGCACGGAGGATCCCGTGAGAAAAGACAGTCTCTGCCCTCATGAAACTTGGAGAGGGACAGACCCCAGATAAGCCATTAATGAGGAGGAGAGGTAAATGGAATGGCATGAGGAGGACAGGGTGGGGGGTACTCCCAGGGTGGTGGGGCGGGGAGGTGGCAGTGGGAGGTGGGGAGGAAGCGCCAGGCGGTGAGAGAAGCAGGTGTCTTCTGCTTCTGCTCCGTGGACATGCATTCTGGGCTTGTGCCCTTGCCGGTCACCTCACTGGTCCCTCTGCACATGGCCTGTGTGCATTTCCAGCCAGAGGGGCCAGACATTAAGTTCTTCAAAGCCCAAGTGTTATTTAGCACCTGTGTGCCGGCATGTGTGGGGCCCAGCTGTGAACCAGACCATCGGAGGCTGCGGTATAGGTGGGAGAACTACCTCCTGTGCTAGCTGGGCGCCCAGGCGAACCTGTGTGAGATCCCAGTCATGCCACGGAAGTGACTAACTCCTTCCTTCTCCTTTCGCCCTAGCTGGTCAGGCTGGCCCCAGCAGAGGCAAAATTCGAGTCTTCAACCAGGAACAGGTCTGCCTGCGACGGGGCACCCAGAGAGGATGCTAGGAGACCTGCAGTGCTTTGTGGTAACCCCTGGGGACTCCAGAAATACCAGGGACCAGACTAGATTTGCAAGAGATCAGACGCTCTGTGGGGGCGGACAGGGTTAGAGTCCAAGGAGACCTAAATATACATGTCAGTTTAGACTGGGGCTGAGACACATTTAGAACACGTGTATTTTCCAAATGGTATGTAACTACACAGTACAATTATAATCAAATGGGAAAACCCCTTTGTTTTACAATAAGCTATGCTCTGCTCCCCTGCCACCCCCCCCTCCTCACGCGGTCCCCACCCTGTCACCACAGTCACACCATGCACGCAGTCTTTGTTGCTCAAGCTTAGATAGGGTCTACATTCCCAGTGGCAAGGAGAAGGCAGCGATTCGAGAAAAGCCGTTACTGGGAGGAAGTTATCACTTTATAGCAGCAGAATTTATAACTGAAAAATGGGACACCCTTAAAATGTTCCAACACTAGGAGACTGGTGCAATACAAGCTAGTCATCCACGTAAGAGACTATTATGTAGCCATCAAAACGATGCTCAATAGTTGGATTAACATGGAAAATGTTGTTTTATCAAGTTAGGTGAGGAAAGCAGAATGAAAATTATCTATATACTTTCTCACCTTTTACCTAACCAGAGGAAACATCTCTCAAGCCTGTGTGTAGAAACACACACACACACACACACACACACACACGCAAGCACACACGCACACGCACGCACAGCGAGGTCACACTGCAGCTATCTTTATTTAGAGGGAATTGTGGTTACTGTTCCCTTCTTCTCTTTGCCTTTCTGTACTTTTCAAGTTTTCTATTATGTGAATTACTGTTTTATAAAATGAAAAACCCCACATTATAAATATTTACATCAAAATTAAAGAGACAGCCTGCTGTTCTTAAATTAGCCTCTTAAATCACCGGCAGGAATGGTCTCCTCCTCACGGCTGAATGCAGCCTAAGTGGGAGAAGATGAGTGTTTTCATGGAAGACCATTCCCGTGATGTTAGCAAAGGCTGACAATGAAGGAAGCCTGGTCTTTTGGGTTTCTGGACCAATCCCAATGTGTGTGTGTATGTGTATTTGTGTGTATGTGTGTGTTTGTGTTCGGGTGTATTTATGTGTATATTTGTGTGTGTGCTGGTATGTAATATTCCCCAACAACCAATTCTGTGACACGAACAAGGTGTCTGAGAATTGAGTTAAACTCAGACACTGTCTACCCTGTGATCCAACAGGTTGAGGGCTCCATCCACAAGGCCGCCCCACTCATACACCGATCGCAAGTCAGTGACACAGTTGACACCTGTGCTTCTGACAGACTGGCTACGAGTCAGAGGTTCTCATGATCCCCCCTTGGATTTGATTAATTTGCTAGAATGGCTCGCAGAACTCAGGAAAACTCAGGTGCCCATGTTGGACTGCAAGCTGGACTGGACCCTGCCTCGGGACTTCACCCTCGTGCCTGTACCTCTGCGTCAACTGCACCCTATTTTCCCATACCCCTGGCAACAGGGTTTTTAGAAACACCTATCAACTTGGAAACTGTATCACTTTAAAATGTGGGAAAAAGCAGTTAAACACACATTGGTTTATTGAATGCTGACATGTGCCAGGCACCGCAGATACAGCAGAGAACAGGACAAAGCCCCTGACCTCCAGGCGCTCATGTTCTAGTGCAGACAACAGATATCGCAGCAGCAGGGAGCACCTCACCCAGGGCCTTACCATCGGGGGCGGGGGGGCCGGGGCTGACCAGGGACGCATGCACAGAAGCACATCACGATGCCCTTCATGCTGTAACAGTGCTGCTTAGGGACCAGACGTTGGTGTGTGTGTGTGTGCGCGCTGCTGGGGAAACAACACAGGCAGAGACCATTAAGGAAAGGAGGCCAGACAGGCCAGCTTGTCCTGGGTGGCAGCGTGGAGGAACTCACTCCCCTTGGCCCGTCACAGTCCAACGTGCAAGTGGGAGATCTCGGAACACGGGAGTGCTGAGCACCACGAGGCAAAGCACCCAGAAGCGTCCACTGGCTGTCACCACAGGGGCTGCTTCGGGGTCCTGCGGGGAGAAGCCAGCCAGCAGCAGGGTGAAGAGTAAGTGGACACAGCGGGCAGAAGCTTATTCCAGAAGTTTGCCGTGAAGGAGAGGACTTGGGCTCTTGAAAGATTATTTGTTTTAATGTGTTTGAAAGAGTTAAGGGTATTTAAATGCCACAGGAACTAGAGGGCAAAGGTTAACCACGCTGGAGAAGGCGGGAGAGGACGGACCCCTCTTCCAGGAGAGCAGGAGCGAGGGGAGAACGGGTGAGCTCAGGCAGGTGCAGATGTGGTAGCAGAGTTCAACCCAGGAGCTCCCGGCGATGGCTGATCTTCTCCATGAAACAGGAGGTCAGAGATCGGGGAACTCCTGGCCAGAGGGATGGCCGGGAAAGCACAGGTAAGAAAGAAAAGGGCGGGCGGGCCCGTGGAGAGCACTTCCCGCAGGTAAGGAGAAGGCTCAGGAGCCAGGGAAGGCAGTGACAGAGGGGAGGCAGGAAGGTGCCTAAGGCTGCAGGAAGGTCAAGTGGGTGGACTGGGCCCGGGGTCACGGTGTGGCCAGCAGTCAGGAGTTGGAGCGGATGGGGGTGAGGCAGTGAAGCTGAGGCTGAGAGGAGACTGCAGAAGCAGGAGCACCAGAGCAGCTTCTGCACAGACGGGCACTCAGAGGGCGGAAGCCACAGGGAGGCTCCCGTGGCCCGGGCCCTGGGCCTCACCGACCTCTCAGTGACCCCGTTAGGCGGCTTACACATTTAGGAAGCCATTTGCTGCCTTCTTTTTTTCATCTGAAGTCAAATCCACGTTGTATCTTTGAGCCTCCAGGAGGCAACAGGGATGATGGATCCACACACACACAGGCCAGAGAATGGTGTTTCTCTCTTTTATTTAAAAACAGTGCTTCATTACCATTGGCAAAGGCAGAGGCGGTGCTCCCCCTTCGCGTAGAGTTTATAAAAGCCAGCAACATGATCAATAATTTATACACATGGATAGTAATACAAAAAAAAATAAGGAATAAAAGCTAAAGATCTAACTACTCCGACCTTCACAATTCCAGCTACTTGATAATAATAGGAGTAACCCAATGAATACTGTATGGTCTGAAAGCTACTATACAATATGATTCTTAACGAGAAGGGAGGGAATCAGAGGCTGTCACAAAGCCCTGGGTGCTTCTCTGGAGTCCGCAGGGAAACAGGACCCTGGGCGAGCAGCTCGGGGGTCCTAGGAAGTGATCCGGGGAGGGGAGGGAGAGAAGGCGAGGTGGTCAGTTACACAAGCATCCCATGTGATGCCCCCGTGCCCCGAAGGTACCTGTTTGCCATGGCAATGGGAGGGGCCGGAGAGTGCATGTGGCGTGGAGGACGGTTCAGTCCCTGCCACGGGGGTGGGGAGGAGAGGTGCTGTGGCGTTTTGAGCCTTGCAAAGATTTGGACTGAAGAGCTCAGAGACTCAGAGGGCCGTCTGCCGGGAACAGGGACCCCGGCTCTCAGCTCTGCAGCCCTAGCTTACGTGTGTCAGCCCCAGGTTTGCTCCAGCTTTTCACAAGCAGAATTATAACACAAGAAAAACAATTCATATCCCTTAGGGAAAAAAGAGGATCAATTCATCACTCGATATATAATACAGCCAAAATGAGCTGCCAAAACAAGCACACACACACACAAATACTGTGAACAGAAAAATACAGGAAAATGACTAAGCTCGGAGTCTTGATGGGGCACCGACACTGCTTAAAGCACTTAGTCCCCAGAAAAACTAAACCAAAAGAAACAATTTTTTTTTTTAATTCAAAAACTCGTGGACCCCCCTGGGAATCTGGTGTTGCTAACAGGGACAGGGGGTGGGGAGAGAGAAGAGAACCAACGTTCCCTTTCTGCCTGCAGTGTGACCTGAGCCCTCACCGCCGGCACACAGGGCGCATGCCGACAGAGGCCTGAGTGCCGCACTGGCAGGCTCCTTAAAGGCAAGGTTGAATGTTGGCTGATGGACGTTCTCAGTTACCAATCCCTGCCGACCAGCACCACCATGGCTGAAGTGATCGACCGTTTTCCTGAGTAAACTAACTGGCTACAGTGCTGGTGACGTGGACGGGAACTCAGCCCCCACAGCCAACTGCGACCCTCCAGCACTCCTGCGCCTCGGCTCCTCGTGGGATTCAGGAATTTGAGAACCGGCTGTAGTCTGGTCTGCAAGTCTCACTGTAAAGACAGGTGCCAGGGACTCCGCCACACTCACTCCACCAGAGGGCACGTGCTGGCTTAGGGCACCCGGAGCCGACTTGCGAAGGGCCCTGCGTCATGCTCCACTAGCTCCCCTTACACTAAGAGCTAGCGCTTGGATGGCTATGGCCTGGTTGATCAGTAAAGCAAGTATGAAGGAAGTACAGAGGAAAGGGGAAAGGGAGGGAAGAGGCTTTTGAACAGTAACATTTTCAAAAAATAAAATAAAATAGTGTTTTATGCAACAGAGAATCAAGTTTCACTGTGTACACTACAAATGGTCAAACATTTTCAAGAGCAAGACAAAATAAAAACACACAAATTTACGTTTGATGTTCACCTTGCCCACTATTTTTTTCCTATCTTAAAACAGTGCAAACAGGTAACTTATGCTTTTAAAACACCACTACCCCTTCCCTACCCCCCAAGGTCTCTTTCCTCCTATTAGCCGGGGGTGGGGTGAGGGTGGGGGTAAAATCTGCAATTCTGCAAATGTTACTGTGCTAAAGGGTCGCAAGCAGCAGAGAAGCGGCCGGCCTTGGCGAAAGGGGAGGGTTTGGACAACGTCCCCTTTCCCTCCTTACACGTCTAGTGCCTTCCAGACTGTCCCTCGCTTGGCCTCGCTCTCCTGCCGGAGGGAAGGGGGGTAATCAAGCCCGCCTCGCAGATCCTTGGAGCTGCTTCCATCCCAAGTTTCCACCTCCCTCCTATCTGGAAGCTACGTGACTAGTCATAGGGTGATGGCGACTCACCGACTTATCGGCTACCTCTAGGAAAGTCTAACCTACACTAAGAGCAGTTCAGCCCCTGAGGAGTCACACTTGTGAAGAAAAGCTGCTATCGCTTATTTCTAGGAAATAGATCTCCACTAGCTCCCCTTAAACTAAGAGCTGAGCCCCAGCCCCCTTCTTTTTTAAGGAAAATAAGAGGCTCCATTCTGACTGTGGCTGTTGAAGGATAATGGTGATGGTAGGTTTTGTGAAACCTGAGAGCCTTAGAAAGGACGAATCGCCACAGCTGACCCCTGATCCAGGTCCTTGGGAGCTGAGCTATTGTAACACTAGGGATTCTGGGAAAGACCTAAGGACAGCTCTCTGGGGGGAAAGAGGCATGTTTAGATAAAGATCTCCACTAGGGGTCTCCTTGAAGGAGCCCAGCTTCTAAGAGTAAGATGCTTAGTATAGAAAGTCCACGTCATGAGCTAAGTAAGCTGCTGAAATCTCTCCTGCACGGTGACTCAGCATCAGTATGTTTTTAGGAATTATCAACCAGCACGCGCTAACGAACTCGCAAGATGCCAAACTCTCTTCTGACTCGGCTGCTTAGTCCAGTGGGGACTTGAGCCAGGAATGGACAAGCTCTAATGCCTTGAGGAACCTGCCTCTGATGGAGTCTCAAAGTTCAAAGGTGGATGGGAGGCCAATACCGCCAAATCCAGGGGTTTCCGAGCCCTACTCCTCAGTGTGGATACCCAAAACTAGAGGCCCGTTAGTGAGAAGCAGAACTCATCTGGTCCTGCTCAGGAGGGAGCTAGAGGGAGCCGTGTTACCACCCCCTGGAAGGCAGCAGAAGCCCTCGGAGAACACGGAGCTTGCCTGGGGTCCTCAGCCAGAACCAGCTGAACTGAAACGCACAAAGGGTACCTCCCGCTCAAGCTCTGCCTCCTAAAAGGGTCATGGGAGCTGCCTTCTCCACCCTTCCCTTCACCCTCATCCCTTTCTGGAGAAGAGAAGACTCTCAAGCTCACTGCCCTCCTCCCTGCTGCGGACGCAGCTGTTCAGAATGTGGCCTTGTCTCCAAGGGTGTCTTGCCATTCTGTGAGAACGGCCCTCTTTGAACATGACACGGAATTTCTCTCGGTTCCTTTAGTCAGTAAAAGCTCTCCCTCAAAACAAAAGAGAATAAGAAAAAGAAATCCTCCTGCCCCCATTCTCTAGAAATTCCCACCCCCCACCGCTAACTAAAAGATTTATATACACACAACAAAAACTGTCTTCACAGCAACAAATCAAACTTTGGCTTGGGGAGGAGAACCCTTAAGAAGTGGCCAGTGGACTGGGCAGTTTGGTGTCCCCTATTCTACACAATCCCCAGAATCAACAAGAATTGCATCGAGGCCTCTAGCTTCCATGATGTCTCCCAGTTGCTAGGACAGAGGATCCTCAAGGGGAGAGACATGTATTCTATCCGACAGGCCAGTCCTTCCCAGATACAAGCCTCTGCTTACAAAGAATGCTTGATGCTGTCGTATGTCAGTCACTTTGATTCAGGGACACGAATCAGTTATCAGTCAAGAACATGTGTGGAGGCAGGAGTTAAAAAACCAAAACCAAACCCATAACACACCGGAAGCTCTGTGTCTTTGAATTACTCCCTTTATCAGCTATCCCTGGGGTGAAAAGTCACCCTAGTACCAATGTGAATAGACCAGGGAGCCAGACAAATGGTGCTTTTCTGTTTTCTATGCCTTCATGCTGGAAAGGCAGGACCCTTACCTCTATCAGTAACAGCTAACAGCTAGAAGAGAAACACTTTCTTCCCTACCTCGATCACACACACAGGGGAAGGCAGGCAGCAACAGCAGTGACCCACTGCACGGGCCGCCCCGTAACTCCTGGCCATCTCTGCCTCCTTCCCTACGGGAGAGCAGCCTCGGGGCTTCGTGCTTTCTGTCCTGTAGTGTCCACGAATACCAACTGGTCCAGGGTGCTCAGCTGCGGTCTTTGGAGGATAATGAGAAGCTGGGTGGAAGGGCCACGGGGGCTCAAGACTGGAGAGAGAAGTGACTCATAAAGGCTCTGGAGGATGACATTCCTATGGCTTTGGAGCTAGTACAGTGCCATCGCCGCCCTGACAGGCCCTGGCCACCAAGCCTCCCAGGGACAGCTGGCCTAGGACGCGGTGCTTGTCTCTTGCCAAGTCTTCATTCTGTCTTGCACTCTGCACTGACTTTCTGATGGAAGAGGAAGATCGGGAGTATCAGAGTGCCTTGCAGACACGGCCTAACATCCTTTCTCTTCTCTTGACCCTCTGTACTGGCTCTTGACAGATTGTACTTCATCCTCAAACCGTGTCCAGGAAGAAAGCTGGCCACTAGCTATTTATTTACTTTTCTGTCCCTGGGTCCTAAATTCCTGAATCTTGAGGACATGGGGGCAGGGTGTTCATAAAAGGATAGATGAGCTAAGCTGTGGTTCAATTAAAAGGGAAGGAGCCCAGCAGGAATGCTAGGATGGCAAGAAAGAAAAGAATCTTTTTCATACTCCAGAGTTCATTCTGAGATTAGTTTCCTAATGAGGTGTTTATTATCCACAGTCTGAGAGCAAGTTTGGAAATATTAATATTATAATTCCAAAAACTCTGCCAACTGTCTCAGGCTGTGCATGTAAGATGATTGTAAAAAGAATGGAGAAGACAGGAGGGAAGAGGAGAGGAAAGTGAATTTTTAATTCTCCTGCTTGGCAAGCACAAATTCCTATCATCTATTAGCATGTGGGTTCCAGCCACAACCAATCAGAATTGCCTGCCAAAGACCAGAAACTCAGAAGACTAGAAGACTATCCTGTTGCAGAAAATCTTTCCCACTTCTGCGTGTCCCCCCGCTGGCCAGCACCAGATACACTTTGGTAATTCTGTCTGCTGATTTCTGATCAGACGCAGCTCTCAGTTCCTAATCTCTCTCCTCCCTCATTAATTGCCTCTTCCGTGATTGACAGAAAGCTAAGCACGGACATACAGACATGGAAATGCATTTTGTTTTTTTTACCACAGTTAAAAAAAAAAAGGAAAAAAAAGAAAAAGAAAAAATGCACAATCTTTGGAACAAAAGAATTAAAGGCAGAAATTTAAAGGAAAAATACATATTCAAAGAACATAGTGAGGTATAAAAAAGTATTCTCTCTTTTTTTGTGTTTTTTTGTTTTGTTTTGTTTTGTTTGTTTTTCCTCTTCATCTTGCTATAGAGTTCCTCTACTAGTAAATATTGCAATAGCCAGGCCTCATGAACTGGGGGCTGTCCCACTTGCAGGGTCTCACGTCACTTCAGTAGGGGGCAAATCGGCTGTAGCCACCTCGGTATAAACTCGCCTGCAGTGATTAAAGACATAAAAACAATTAAAAGGTTGATGAGAGATTTGGGAAAACAGCTTCCTTAGAAGCTTCAAAGCAACTGATGCGATGCTGCCAGGGGCAGCGCAGTCGGGAAACCACCTCGGCCTCTGAGAGGCTCGAAGCAGCGCCCAGGACACTTACTGCTGACCCGAGCTTCTCAGAGTGAGGGCATGCCAACGGGGCACTGCGTTATCCACATGAACTAGCACAGAAGGGAAAGTCAGCACAGTTCACAACTAGGTCTGTCGATGGGTCTTTGTTTACCTTGACTACATCATTACAACCGTGACCTTCTTACACTTACCTGTCAATGGGGGACATGCTACCTCTGACCGCTATTTCTGTCATATCCCATGTTTGAGACAGTGTTGGATTTAAACCTGAGTCAATCTTTCAATGAATAAAGCCAATTTCCTGACATACATGTATGTATAACTGGGGTTTTAACTGGGTTTTATTTCTTTACTAGAGGCCTGGTGCACAAAAATTCATGCACTCCAGGTGGTCCCTCAGCGTGACCTGCACCCTCTCGCAGTCTCGGGAGCGGGCCTAAGCTGGCAGTCGGACATGCTTAGTGCTGCTGCAGGGCTTCTGGCTGAGCAGCGCTCCCCCTGTGGGAGTGCACTGACCACCAGGGGGCAGTTCCTGCATTGAGCGTTTGCCTCCTGGTGGTCAATGCACATCATAGCAACCAGTTGTTCTGCAGTTCAGTCAATTTGCATATTAGCCTTTTATTATATAGGATGTTTATCTAATGGTGCCTCTTTTTTTCAAATAAAATATCCCTAGGAACATAGATAGCGCTCTTTGGGTTATTCTTTTCTAGAGGACTTATATCATGTTGGCACTAAATAAAACCTTAGGAACTTCATCACTTTCTTCGTATTGTATGTCTCTACCTTAATTCTAAACACACACCCCCAACCCCGCCTGGGACCCTATCACTTCCTCCCACAAATCTTCATGGGCAGGAAGTCAATGTGCGACAATGACAGGCTCTCTCATTTACTTTAAGTCTTAAATCTGAGCCCTCATTCTGCCCCCCTCACACCTTGTCCGTGCTCCCAGGCAGCGGCCAGGCTGCACTTCAGAATGCAGAGTTTTGGACATTAGTAGGTGTCACAGAGGAAAGGCCTATCTTTGCTGGAATCAGTGAGTCCCCATTGTTGGACCTGGAGGCATCCAGGCCAACACAAAAATGCTGGGGTGAGGATTTGAGTTTGGTTAAGGGGCATCATTCTAGAAGAGCTCTAGCCTTCTATGGAAAGACTGTATTTTTGCAACAGATGTTACTACTAAAATATCTTTGTAAGGCGTTCACCTGGTGATTTCTAGTACCATCTACCAGAAGACTTACAAACAGCAAGGACAGCCTTTGGCACCTGCATTTGCAACTCATACAAATTAAGTTATCTGAAAAGCTTAATGTAAAAATTGGAGAGTCTTATGCCCTGAAGTCCTTGCTAACACCTATCAATAAAACTACACTACAGTTACGTTTCCAACATTTGAGCCAATGTAAGATATCAACCTATTTCCTTCTTTCTTTCTCAAAAAATGTCGTTACTCAGGGCAGACTGCCACTGTCCATTCCTTTCTGCTGTCCTTACGCAGGCCTGTGGCTTGTACTATTGCACTCAGGGAAAGAAGGTGTTATGAAATTTCCAGATGGTCCTATGTGGCTTTAATACTTTGGTAATGGAAGAAGGGCTAAATTTACTATCTCCCTAGATCTTATATAGTCTGTAGGTAAAAGTTAGGAGTAAAATGTTTTTAAAAAAATTGTACATATACTTACCACAGCGCCAACTCCATAGCTAGCGGCAGGGGCAAGGGCATGGTAGGGGTCAGCTGTGTACACCCTGCCATAACTGGAAAGAAGAAATACAATCAGGGAGAGAAAGAAAAGATAGTAACCCCCCAAATGAAAGGGTTTACTGTGCTAAGGACTGGTGAGCGGCTTGATCTTAGAATGATTATTAGGAAATTGGCAGAATGGAAAAAGCCTTTAGATTCCTATTCCTAAATATAGTACTTGGAAAAATTCTGAGGTCTTCTCTAAGATGGAGAAGAAGGGAGTTGCAGATGACAAAGAGGGAGATTGCGGTGAAAGGAGGCAGCGCCATGGCTTTTGGCATGACAGGCCACGAGGAGAAGGCCAGGCCTGCGGGCGGCCCCAGGCACTAGGTGCCGTTTTGGAAGCGGGGAAGGGCGGAGAGGCAGTGACACTCGGGACCATGTACGTACCCGTCGCTGTAAGCGGCGGCAGCGGCTGCAGCAGCCGTGGCTGCGGTTGCAGTAGCAGGCTGTGCATATCTGTAGGCTGCATATCCGGCCTACAGGAGAGAAGAGAACTGACTTTACAGCTACCTCTCCCCCCGGAAGCACAGATGAACACACACCCACCCACACGAGACAGACAGACACAGGGAGACACAAACACAGACACACACATGGGAAGAGGATGTTTCAAACTGCATCGGTCTACATGTTACTCCCCTAGTGCAAGAGTAAGCTCCACCCTGCACAGGGACTCGCTGTCCAATTTGTGACAGTAACAAAAATAAACCACCTTGGTAGGACCTGTTCTCAAATTTAAGAAATGAAGATATGAATTTTGATCTGTCTTGTTTCAGTCTCTGCTGGAACTTTCAGCAGGGAAAATATTCATAGGAAGTTGGGAGAACTTTGACTGACAGGAAGTATCAATTAGAGAATGAAAACATTAAATGAATGTGTGTTAACGTCCGATTCCCTGATGCATACGCAGACTCTTATTGCTAAGAG